CTTCAAAAAGCTTCCTTTTATTTTTCCCATTTCTGCAATCAATTACGTTGGCATGAAGATTTCCTTCGGTACGTAGGTCCGGAGTCGTAAGAAATCACGAGTAAAGCCAAGTTTAGCTGAAAGGAAGAGGGAGATGCGGGGTGCTGGGGCCTGAGCTCACTGGCACTAAAGTTGGCATCCGTTAGCTCAGTCCCCAGACAAGTAGGACACAGCTACCACACCCCTTGGCAGGACTTGGGGACACTCTCAGACCCAGGCTGCCCCCCAGGCACTCCTGGTCTTGAGGGAAGCAGAGAAGTCCACAAACAAATATAAATATGGAAGGACGAGACACAGGCGATGAGGAGCACCATGTGTTCTCTGCGGTCTGCTCAAGTAGGCCAGACATGCTGGGGACAGGGACACAGGGAGGCGCCCCAGAGAAGGGAGTATCAAAGCAGAGACTCGAAGCTCAGGAAAGGGGAGTGGAAGAGTCCAGGCCCAGGGGCCTCTCAGAATCAACAGCAGCACCCCACAGAGGACTCCATGGGCCAGAAGCTGCTCTAGGCACAGGCCTCGGTCAGGTACTCAGGGAGACACCGCCCTTGTCCCCTCAACCTGATGACTCCTGCGGGAGGGAAAGAAGGGGGATGTGTGAGTCCAGACTGGGATGGAGGGGGACAAGGACGAGACATGCTGAAGTGAGCCAGGGACAGAGGACAGGGTGAGGAAAGAATGCAGCCAGCATAGGAGAGACTCACCCCGAAGCCAAAGAAAACGATTACAGAACCACACCACAGGCACAGCTCTGTTTGGAGCTGAGGATTCTGGGGGCCTCTGACCCAGCGCCCTGGGCCGGCTGGGGGAGGCAGAAGCTGGGCAGCCTCCTTGATGGAAAAACCTTCCAAGGACGGCCACGCAGCACAACTTTTGTCTGTCTCATGCTCCCCCAGCCTTTCTTCCAAAGTGACAGAAACCTGGACTTCTTTAGGTTTAATGTTCGTTCTGATGTGAGGGAAAAAACTGAACATCGGCTTAAAATACACAATTAAAACTGTCTTTGTTACACGAATTTTTAGAGTCTAAAGAAAAAAACTGACTTCCATAAACCAAAATTAGAAACCTCACTATTTCTTGTTTAGCTGAATATGAGCTTGTTTTTGTAGTGGCCAGAATTTTTCCTGATTTCTCATTCATTCAGAAAAACAAAAAGACATCTTGAAGGCCATCTGTTAGCTGAAAACATTTTTAGAGACACATTAAGTACAAGTACCTGTTAATATTCTTCAATATAAAAGCCCAAGTTATTCTCAAAACATAAAAGATTTGCTATATACCACAGGCGACTGGGGAGAGAGAAGGGATGAAGCAACAGGTGAAGGCCCGACCTGCAGCGGAGGCCTCCCTCTGGGGAATCCGGGACGAAGCGCCTGGAATGCCGCCATGGGCCAGGGGCCTCCGAGGGGCGGGGCGCGTGGGCTGGGAGACCACCCGCAGCAAGAGCGGGATGACGCCACATGGGGCCCTGCGGGACGCTCGGGGCCCCTCCCCACCAGGCACCCGGCACCGGCTCGACCACCCGACCGCAGCGGGGGGTGGCCCGCAGCTGGCAGAGCCACAGGCGTCGTCATTCGGGCATCCTGGCCAGCGTTCTCACTACTTCCCCCACGCGCCCCAGCTCCGTCACAGCCCCGCCAGGAAAGCAGGGCCCAGGCCTCCCGTGCCTGTCTGGCCGTCCCTCCCACCTGCGTGCAGGGCGGTGACAGGACCTGATGGGGGCAGGAGCCTAGCCCAGGACAGCTGGGCAGGCATGGGTCAGAGCGGACGCCGCGGAGCCCCATCTGAGCCGGGCCTTGCAAACGGGGAGGGGGTCAGGAAGGAGCACAGTTAGCACGTTAAGCTCCAGATGCCCAAGGTCAGCAGAGAGGCGGGTGGTCCGCACAGATCCAGACTCCGGGGTCCGAGGAGAATGGCAGAGAGCATGCTGGGAGGGCCAGCCGGGTCAACGCGGGCAGTGCCGCAGTGGAGCAATGGGAGGGACAGGAGAGAGGAGCGGCCAGGGCAGCTGACCGGCCAGGCCTCAGAGGAGAGGGGGCGCTGACGTTTTCAAACAGGAGGGCCTCCTTTGAAAACATAAAGGGCGATGCGAACGCGGAGCGCACCCACTTCCCCAGAAAGGCCAGAAACGTCCCAGGGGCCCTGAGGTCTGAAGCGGGCTCGGACAGACCCAGGCAGGTACCTCGAGCGCCTTCGTGTAGGCGCCAACGTCCAGCATCAGGCCAGAGGTCTCCTTGTAGTAGCGCCTAGAAAGAGCAGAAGGGGACAAGGTGAGCTGAGCCCATGCTCCAGGAAATGCCGAGAGAAACCGCCCTGTCCTGGTTCTGCCAGCTCAAGAGAACCGAGTCATGGGGGAGGGTCAGTCCACATGCCATGCTGAGAATGACTGAGGAGGTCAGCACAATGGGGCCCACTGGCGGGCCGCCACACTGGGTACGAGAGACCATGGGCCAGCAGCTCTGTCAGAATGGCCCCTGCTGCCAGGCTTGTGGGGCCCCACCGCAGTGATTAACAGGGGACCCACGGGGCAGATGGATCCAGTTGCTAACAGGGTAAAACAAGAGACCTGTGTTCTGGGAAGGACAGCAGCCCCACAGAGCACGTGGGGAACCCCTACTTGCTAATCATTAACCCCTAATTACTGCCTGCAGAACAAACCCCATTAGTCCCACAGCGCCCTGCCGCGTCTCCTATTAGCCAGAGGTCAGAGAGGCGCCGGGCTCGTGGGCGCCAGATGCTTTCCCAGACGACTGCGGCCCCCGGTCTCCCTGGGGACTAAGACAGCTCGGCTCTCGGGACCCTTCGCCCTTCCCCATGCCCTTCGAATTGGGGCGACATTAAACAGCGGGTACGCACGGAGCCAAAGAGAAGAAGGGCGAAGTGTGCTGACCTTGGGGTTCAAACCTGTGCTCGCTGCTTTTTAACAGCGGGACTCTGAGTAGCTTAAGCCCACTGGGCCCGAGTTTCCCAATCCGCCAAATGGGCGAAAACAAGGCAAAACAGAACAGCACCCACCTCACGGATCACTGAAAGGCTTGAACAGAATAATGTGTGCAAAGTTCCTAACATGCTGCTAGCATACGGCAACTGCTCAAAATACAGTGGAGAATATTACTGTAAATAATTGTTCATCCAGACTGGGAAACAGGCAGTCAGCGCTGAGCTGGGGAGGAAAGAATGAACACAGGTCTAATTTGTGGGGCTGAAACCTGTTCTGTGCCCATAGGAAACACGAGCTGCCCCAGAGCTGTGCCCTTACTC